GGAATCTGAGAGTTATGGTTCTGGACTTCGGTTTTCCACACAGTTGTTTTCGTTTTAACTCGCTTCCCAGAAACGGTGCGTTCTCTTTGACTTTTTATTTGGAGTCGTTGATTTTTGATTTGTTGTAAGTGCATAATTAATATATTGCCTTTATTATTTTGGTTTACCATATAAGCAAAATATTGGCTTCGAACGGAAAGAATGGAAACGCACTTAAAATGGTATAAATCATTTGAAAACGAATTGTTCCATACCATATACATTGTAACCATTCGAAATCATTATTGAAATGCGAGGATGTCAAAAGAAAAAGAAGCAAGTTATTGGACAAAACGTGATGGACCGACGACGTTTATGATCATATTTGGAATAATAAAATAAAAATGAAAATGGGGAACTGGCAAAAAAATGCGAATTGTCAAACGTGCAATTTATCATACACTAATATCAAGCTGACTTCACTATATAAATAAATAAATGGTTTCTTATCAATCAATGCATTTTTGGAAAATGAAAACACTAGTTTTGTAACTTTTATTTAACGTCTGAATTGATAACAATGAACATAGTATCCAACATAGAAAAACTGGAAGCCCAAAATTTGAAATAATGGGACTGAATAAAAACAACTTTCACATCCTAGTGAAAAATGGCTAAAAGATGTTACTGGAAAGCTTCTCTATCTATACGATCGTGGAGCCAAATTGGAGTTTCTAACGTGAGATAAGATTGAGAGAACACCCCCGAGGTATCTATGACAACATAGTTTTCTCTTTGAGATTCCAATTCGAAAGAGCAATTATCAACGGTAGACTCGACACGAGTGATCTTCCGCGAAAGTTTGATATTTTGGTTATTACAATGACTAATGAAACAAAGAGAAGGAGAAGATGAGATTTGAAGAATTTATGTGTGTCTTCAACTAAAGAGAGCATACAGCTTTATATTACAATGATCGTATCTACTTGCCATAAACTATATCATTCTACAATAAGTACAATCATAAAAAAAATATTCCCAATCATCCCAATCACAGGTATTTTCTTTGATGTATACTTGATTTGATATTTACTCCAATACCCCCCNCCCCC